AAAAAAAAAAAGAAATTGCCAAACTCTTTTACAAAGTAAGTGTACCATTTAACAAATTCCCCAGCAACAGAGTAAAGTTCCTATTATTCTACACCCTCTCCATCATTTGGTGTTATCATCATTTGGTGGTATTTCATTGTTTTAATTGATAGTTCCCACATACCCACACACATACACATATATACATACATATTTTTTTCAAACTTTATTTTTGGTGAAAATGTACACAGCAAAACATAACACCCATTCAGCATTTTCTGTTTTAAATCAGCTGAATCTCACATTTCTCCCTAAGCCCCAGGTGTCTCGATCACTTTTGGGGAATGTCTTACCACTTCTTTGTACACAGTCATTTATTCAACAAGTATTGTTGGGTGTCTCAAATACGAAGGGGGCTTCAAAAATATTGTGAGAAAATTCCTTTTCTTCTCATTCCTTTTCCCACAAGCTTTTCGAAGCCTCCTCATATATTAGGTACAATTTTAGGTCCTGAGGATATAGCAGTGAATAAAACATCGGAAGTCCCTGGACTCAAGAAGCAAACGAATATACATACCATTTTCAGGTAGAGAAAGTGCTGTGGCGAAAATTAGAGCAGGATAAGGGGGGCGGGGAGGGCAGGGTATAGTGGAGGTTCCTATTTTAAAGAGGAGGGGCATGGAGCACCTCACTGTGAAGCAGGGATTAGAGCAAAGCTTTGAAGGAAGTGGGAGGGTGGAGAATTTTCTAGGCGGAAGGAAGAACCAGCACAAAGGCTCTGAGGATGGCATGTGCATGTTCAGAGACCAGAAGAAGGCCTCTGGGGCTGCAGCCGAAGGGTGTGGGGAGATTCAGTTAGAGGTAGCAGGGGATCCACTGGGTAAGGACTTGGAGACCATTGCAATCGCTGATTTTTAACTCCGGCAAAGTGGAAATACAGTGGAGAGTTTTGAACAGAGAAAGATATCACTACTTAGTTGAGTCTTAAAAAGGGTTACTCTTGCTGCTTTATTAAGAATAGACTGTACACCATTACCATCTAGACACCAAATATTGCTAGAGACCCAGTCAGCATCAAAACAGTATTTTAAGTTTAGAGCAGACCTGTAGAAATAGCTTCACAAGTAGAAAAGTAAGAATAGTACAAAAAGTATATTAAACCAAAAATCTAAGCTTAATGCCATTGAGTGGATTCTGACTCATAGTGACCCTGTAAGACAGGGCAGCACTGCCCCTGTGGGTTCCCGAGGCTGTAACTCTTATCTGGAGGAGAAGGCCCCATCTTCCTCCCGCTGAGCATTTGGTGCTTTTAAACTGTTGCAGCCTTTTGGTTAGCACCCCAACATGTAACCACGACGCCAGCAGGCCTGCGAAAGACAACATATATAATGCATTTCTTCTGGTGTAAATGCTTTGCTTTACGATTCCACCTATATGTACACACACACACACACACACACACACACGTTTTATAAGTGAACCATTTTGTAGAACTTATCCCTAAAAACGTTAGTGTGCATTTTATAAAAATAAGAATATTCACTTATCTACCACAGTATAGTTATCAACCTAAGGAAAGTCGATAAATGTTAACTCATTTTCTGATTCCTCTAAAGAACTTTTGGTTCTGTTTCCTAGTTTTATCTTCTGACTTGAAAATGATTTTGCGATCAGTAACCTATCAAGAATTCTTTTCTACTTTTTTTTCCCAAATAATACAAAATTTTATTTTAAAACAAAAAAAACCAAAACTCTATTGCAGGCCAATCGATTCCAGATATAATGACCCTATAGAACAAAGTAGAACTATTTCATAGGATTTCCAAGGCTGTTATTTATTATTATTATTATTATTAAAAGATACCATACAATTTATTGGGGCACTTTGAATGATAATTTATTGGGGGCACTTAGAACTTTTATAATAATCACCTGATAATTTATTGGGGGCACTTAGAACTTTTATAATAATCCATACATAAATTGTATCAAGCATATTTGTACATATGTTGCCATCATTCTTTTCTAGATATTTATTTTTTATTGAGCCATTGGTGTCAGCTCCTCCTCCCTTCTACTTATTTCAAAAAATATTTTTATTAAAGAAAATCTTAAGCATATAGAAAAGTGGAGAGGGTAGTAAAATGAACTTCATGCCCCTATTATACAGTTTTAACTATTAATAATTTAGTAGCCAATATTATTTTTCTCTTTCCCTACCCAACCCACTCTCATTCACAAGGTGTTTTTTGATATATTTTTCCATTTGTAAATATTTTACTGTGTATTTTAAAGATAATTCACTTTTTAAAAACTTACCTCAATTCCATTATCAGATGTTAAAAATTTAACAATAATACCCTAAAATTTCCAAGCCAAACACTGCCATCGAGCTAATTCTGACTCATAGCAACCTTATAGGACAGAGTGAGACTGTTACTCTTTACAGGGGGAGAAAGCCTCATCCTTCAGCTAAGGAACAGCTCGCGGGTTCAAACTGCTGACCATGTGGTTTGCAGCCCCGTGTGTAACCCACTGTATCACCAGTACTTTCTTAGTGTTTTTAATGATCAGGATTCAGATTTCCCCAATTGTATGCATATCTCTTTTTTTAACAGTGTGTTCAAATCAGGATTCAGATAAAGTCCACTGGTTTATATATCTTAAGACTTTTTTTTTTTTCCAGAACCAAATATTTAATTTATTTAATTCATCTTTTACTCACGTTCAATAACAGTAGCACTTAAGTGTAATGAATTTGCTTCTGGATTTAGCGTTGATGTATTACGGAAGTTTTAATATGTTAATATTCTTTGGGGTTTTTTCTAGATAGTCTGAAATTAAAGATCTTATTTCTGCTTTGACCAAAAGTGATTTCTAAGGCCATAGGTTTACTTGTTAAGGAGTTGGTTTTTTGCATGACACACAGAACCAAGGAACGGAAATGGGAATAGTGATACCAAAAGGGTAGGGGAAAGGGGAAGACAGGAGGGGAGGAAGGGGCTACCTATCGCACTGAATGGCACATAAGCACACACACCCTCCAGGGGCAAGAACAACAGAAACCAGAGGGGAGGGGAGACTTTTTTTTAAATGAATAAATCACTTTATTTGAGGCTCTTAAGCTCTTATAACATTCCATACATCAATTGTATCAAACACATTTGTACATATGTTGCCATCATCATTTTCAAATCTTAAGCCTCTTAATCTAAACATTTTCCCTCTGTCTCTGTTTTGTTGTTTTCCCTTTATATATTCTTTCCAGAAGAATCTCTTTCACTTTGGGATATAACCTTAGAGATATTTTTAATTCAGCAGTAAGTAATTTGCAGTTTTTACTTGAAAAAACTCACAATGGAAACAATTTGGCTGAGAAAAAGCAAATATATGAATTAAGCATAGTTTTAGCTGAAAGGGTATAATTGTACAGAGTCACCAGAGGACACCGAAGGGTGCATTTGTTACAGTTTCTAACTCTGTTTCCAGGTTAAGGACTCAGTGTCTGAGAAACCCATTGGACTGATGCGAATGCAGTTTTGGAAAACTACTGTAGAAGATTTATACCAGGACAATCCACCACATCAACCAGTGGCCCTTGAACTATGGAAGGTAAACAGACAAGTTGCTGCTCTTAATTTGTAAGAATTTTGCTTAAGCCTACTTTCAGATGGGTTTAATTTGGATAGTGGCAATGGGGAATCTAACCATAAATTATTCTTAGATTCATGTAATATAAGTTCTATGTTAGTATTATTAGGGGATTTAAAACCATTCTCTGCATATTTGCTTATTTCTTTGATGTATTTATTTTTTAAAGAAAGAGAGAGGGGAAGCTGCTCATTTACTTTCTACACATTTATTTGCAGAATTCTGATGCATTGGCAAACAAATTTTCTTTTCTGTCTCCCCAGCTGCAGCTTCCGCTGCTAGTGTATTGATCCAGAGTCTGAGCTGTAGAATGACCTATAGTCCCCTTTTGTGAAGGGAGACTTGTTGTTACTGTTGTCCAAACACAAATCCAAAACCGCTTTGTTAGTTTGATAGAATTTGTAACTTGGTAATTTTTAAGTGTTAAAGATAGGAAACCTGTGGACCAGAGCATTATTTGTATAGCTGGCGTATATAGGAAATATCTTTTTGTTAAAATAGCTATAGGGGCTTTTCATTCATAAATAGCCATGCATAGTTTAGAAACGTGCTAAGGCTGTGATAAGAACCATGACAGACCTGACAGTGATAGAGTTCTTCCCAGGTATGGGTACCAGCAGAAGCAGGTCAGGTAACTGTATCCTAGCCTGACTTCATAAAACCATAGTGTCAGGGTAGGCTCTCAAAGAAACAAAACCAGTGACATACGTGTGTGGTGTGTGTGTGTGTGTGTGTGCGTGTGTGTGTGTGTGTGTGTGTGTAGAGAGAGAGATTTTGATCTCAAGGAAATGGCTCTGTGATTGTGGAAACAAACTGGCAAATCCCAGACCCACTAGTTGCTGACAGACTGGAGGTTTCTCTAGACTCACATGGTTGCAGGGACAGGTGAACCCAAAATAAGGAGATCACAGCAGACCACTGGCTCTCGGGGCTATGAAGCTGATAAATCCTTAACATTGGCAAATCACATGGCAGGCTGCTAGCTCACGTCCCATGAACCAGAAGTCAGATGATGGCAAGCTGTTTGTAGGAACCAAATAAAGGGATAGCCTTTATATATTGGCTACAGGTTACACCCATAGTGAAATTCTCCTTATATCAATGTATTAGTCTGCATAGACTAGAGAAACAAATCCATGGACACACGTGTGTATAAGAAAGAGATTTATATACAAGAACAATTGAACATTGAAAAAACATCCCTGCCCAGTCCAGATCAAGTCCATAAGTCCAATATTAGCCCATAAGTCTGATATTAGCCCATATGTCTGATACCAATCTATAAAGTCCTCTTCAGACTCACAAAACACATGCAATGAGGCCGAATGTAGAAGATCACAGGCCAGTGGGTAGAAAGTCTTTGGATCCAGTGGCATTGGAAGTATCTCAGTGCTGGCAGGGGGTCTCGGCATGGCTTCTCCAGCACCCAGGGCTGCATCAGGGTGGGTCCACGTGTCTTGTCGCTGCTGTGTGTCCCAGGTTGAGCAGAGAGTCTCCCACCTCCAAGGAGGAAAAACCGGAATTCCCAGAATCCTTAGTGGAAGGCTATGCCCACACAGAAGTCTCATTGGCTATGACCTGATTGACAGGCTAGACTCTACCCCTACACACTTAATCCTTAAATTGACAATTATATAACTACCATAATCAGAGTAACTTAAGTAAGGGCATGACTCAAAACACACTCCACACTGATCTTGCCTTGTGAGCATATAGATGTTAGGATTTATAACACATAAAATTGTGAATACTTACATCAGATCATGAAATGGAAGAGGACAACACAATACTGGGAGTCTTGGTCCAGCCAGTTTGACACATGACATTAACCATCCGTCATACCTAGGAAGGATGGAAAGCCAGCCCTGCTACAGAAGGACTAAGGAAAGAAAAGTGGATGGGAAGCTCTCTGTATTAGACTAGGTGTTTACCTCTGTTCATCCCACTTCAAGAAGCTCAGTCTATCCCCCGCCCAGCCCGCTGTCCATCCCCCTGCCCCTGAACCCACCCTGTGGCCCCCACTCTGTTCATGCCTCTCACCCTCAACGCCATTAAAGATTTCATGAGATTAAGAAAAAAAAAAAAAAGAAGCTCAGTCTAGGTGGTTCAGAATAGAAAAAAGGTTCTCGAAACTTTGTTTTACATACAACTCTTTGATTACCCAGAATGCAAACTCCCTGTAACTGGGCTGATTCTGCCTCAAAGAAACCCTGTGGTACAGAGGAGAACTGCTCCATAGGGTTTCTGAGGCTGTAAATTTTTATGGAAACAGACTGCCACCCACAGAGTGACTAGTAGCTTCGAACCACTGGCTTTGGGGTTGGCAGTCCATTGCTTAATCCACTGTGTCACCAGGACTCCTTCCTGTGACTTCATGGTCTGGTTTATGCTCAGACGTACATTGAAGAGCCTGGCCTTTCTTTGATTTAATTCTCCTATACTCTTTCAATATAATATCTATTTTTTGAAAACTTAATCTTCTTCTGAATTTCTATTTACTCTTTTAGTATGGTTTCTAATTTTCATTTAATCTCTGTTTCTTCTTATAGTGCTTTCCTGAATTCTTTCAAAGTTTTGTTTGTTTTCCTTAATTTTCTCAAGCCATTGAAGGCACCAAAATGTCTTTCTTTTAAATTCCTTATTAGGTTGTTCCTAAGCCATTTCTTCCTCAGGAAGATTTCCAGGCTCTGGTCACTGAGTTGAGCCACTCTCTCTTGTTTATTCGTGTGAACTGAAATGACCTGTTGTCTTTGAGACATAGTACTGTTGTTGTATTTATCTTTAATCGGCTGTTGTATGTTGCTGTGCTCTTTGTCATTCACCACCTGTGTCTGTGGGTGCAATGGAGATAAGACTGTGTGCACAGTTCTCTGCTGTTCATGTTGTGTAATTGAGGTTGGGTTTTGCTGGTGTTGGTTTCTAATCTTTGGTCAGGAGAAGCGGGAGGTGGCCCAACTCCACTGGGTGGGATTCCAGGAGATAGGGATGTGGTTGGGCTGTGTGAGGTACTATATTTTTATCACTTATATGTATATCCTTTTCAGGATATCACATCTGCACTTTGTCCATTCGTCTTTTATTGGCATTGTTTATTTTGATCACCCACTCAAGATAGTGTTTGGTTTCTTCACTATTTGTTGTTGCTAGATGCCGTGACTCAGTTCTGACCCATAGCAACCCTGTGCACAACAGAATAAAACACTGCATGCTCCTTGCCATCCTCACAATCGTTTTTATGCCTGTGCCCATGGTTGAAGCTAGCGTGTCATTCTGTCTCATTGAGGGTCTTCCTCTTTTTTGCTGCCCCTATATTTTACCAAGCGTGATGCCCATCTCCAGGGACTGATCTCTCCTGACAATATGTACAAAGTATGTAAGACAAAGTCTTGTCACCTTGCCTCTAAGGAGCACTCTGGGCATACTCTTTTCAAGACAGATTTGTTTGCTCTTTTAGCAGTCCATAGTACTTTCAGTATTCTCCTCCAGCACCGGAATTCAAATGCATCAATTCTTTTTCAGTCTTCTTTATTCAGTGTCCAACTTTCACATCCATTATGAGGCAACTGAAAATACTGTAACCTGGGTCAGGTTTTCCTTCATCATCAAAATAACATCCTTGCTTTTCCAGACTCTAAGGAGATCTTGTGTAGCAGATTTACTTAATGAGATTTGATTGTAGGTTCAAGCAAACAAAATCCTTGACCACTTCTCCATTTAACACTATGTTACCTATTGGTTCAGTTGTGAGGATTTTGGTTTTCTTTATATTGAGTTGTCATCCATACTGCATTCTTCTGTGCTTCATTCTTCATACGATTGAGCTTCTCTGATTATTTACTTAGCATACAGATTGAACACGTATGGTGAGAGAACACAGTCCTCTCACACACTGTGTTAGTCCAGGTAGACTAGAGAAATAAATTCATAGAGTCTGATATGTGAATAAGGAGGAGGTTTATATACAAGAACAGTTGAATATTAAAAAAATTCCATCCCAGTCCACATCAAGTCCTTACGTCCAATATTAGCCCATATGTCCAACACCAATCTGTAAAGTCCTCTTCAGACTCACAAAACATATGCAATGATGCTGAATGCAGGCAGATCCAGTGGGTGGGAAGTCTTGTGGATCCAGTGGCATTGTAAACATCTCAGCGCTGGCAGGGGTATCCATGTGGCTTCTCTAGGTCCAGGGTTCTGGCTGTATCAGAGTAAGTCCATGTGACTTCTCAGGGATGTCTTGCAGGAGTCAGCCTTGTCAGTAGAGAGTCTCCAAGGGAGTGAGCCAACAGAGAGGATGTCTCCTGCTTCCAATGAGAAAATACCAGAGTTCCCAGAATTCCCAGGATAAGGCCATGCCCACACAGAGGCCTCATTGGCTATGACCCAATTTACAGACTAGATTCTACCCCTTCACTCAATCCTATCAAGTCCCAGTTGACACCAAATTATGTAACTACCACACACACCTTTCCTGATTATGAAACAATGGAATCCACTTGTTCTGTTCACACATCTGCCTTTTGATCCACGTACAAGTTCCAGATGAGCACAATAAAGTGTTCTGGAACTCCCATTCTTCTCAAGGTTATCCATAGTTTATTATGGTCCACACAGTCCAATGTTTTGGCATAGTCAATAAAACACAAGTAGGCATCTTTCTGTTGTACTCTCCTTTGAGCCAAGATCCATCCGACATCAGCAATGATAGCCCTTGTTCCCTGTCCTCTTCTGAATCTGGCCTGAACCTCTGTCAATTTCCTGTCAATGTAGTGCTACAGCTGTTATTGAATCATCTTCAGCAAAATTCTACTTTTATGTGATATCAGTGATATTGTTGTATAGTTTGAGCATTCTGTTGGATCATCTTTCTTTGGAGTGGGCACAAATATGGATGAGTGAGTTCTTCCTGTACTTCATCAGCTGGGTGAAACATTTCAATTGGTATTTGGTATTGAATTCAATTGGTATTCATCAATTCCTGGAGTCTTCTTTTTGATGACTGCTTTCTACTATTTAATTATTGTCCTTTCTCTTTTACAACTAATAAACTATCTGTAGGAGACGCTTTAAGACCATGTAGATATTCCCCTCTCCTTCAAAAACTTCCCCTATGCTTGGAATTCATTGATGATTCTTCTGATTTAGTACTTACATCACTATGGACTCGTGAATTACTTTTTTGATTTCAAGTCTTTAAATTAATACTGTACTTAATTATTTAATTATTCCAATTATCCCAAGTTTAGAGAGTGGAAGCCCTTTTAAATTGGCTCTGATGTCCTTATAACATGCCCATCATCATTGTGTTATATGCTTTTATTTTCTAGTACAATAAAACATGTACTAACAGGACCCTGTATCACCTGCCCTGCCTGCACTGGGATCCTTTGCTCTCCCCACTCATTTAAATGGAAATAGTATTAAAGTCCAAGATCCGGGCACTAGCTGTGTGCTTTTCTACTAGCAGCCTTCGTTTGCTAAGATTTACTCTGCCAATTATTTTATTTGGGGTTTTCATTATTATTTTCATTTTGAGAGAAGCAATTTTCTTTCCTGAAGAGAATGCCTTTATCTTATGTAAGGAAGTTTGTATTTAGTGAGACCAGAAAAGCCAGAGTACATCCCATAGTACAAAAGTTGGGCTCATAACCATGTTTTTATTTTGGAAGTGGAATCTTTAAGTTATTAAAAGTACATGGGGGGAAATTTTTAAAAAAATCATTTTATTGGGGGCTCTTACAACTCTTATAGCATTCCATACATCAATTGTATCATGCATATTTTTACAAATGTTTCAAAAACATTTTCTACTTGAGCCTTGGTATAAACTCCTCTCTTTTCCCCTCCCTCCCCCACACTCCCACCGTCATGAATCCTTGATCAATTATATATTGTTATTATGATTTCATATCTTACACTGTCCGTTGTCTCCCTTCACCCACATTACTGTTATTCGTCCCCTTTGGGGTGGGTGGGGGACTATATATCCAACCTGTGATGGCTTCCTCCTTTTTCCCCCTTCCCCATCCCATACCACCCCCCTTTCCTCATCATATCACTACTCCCACTACTGTACCTGAGGGGTTTATCTGTCCTGAACTCTATGTGTCGAGAGCTCTTATCTGTACCAGTGTGTGTTCTCTGGTCTAGCCAGATTTGTAAGGTAGAACTGGGTCATGGCAGTGGCAGGAGCATTCAGGAGCTAGAGGAATGATGTGTGTTCTCCGGTCTAGCCAGATTTGTAAGGTAGAACTGGGTCATGGCAGTGGCGGGGCGGGGGGAGCATTCAGGAACTAGAGGAACGATGTGTGTTCATTCGGTGCTTTACTGCACCTTGGTTGAATCAAAGGGGAAATTTTTTTAAGGTTAAAGTTCTAGAATCATTTTTATTTGGAAATACTTAAAAAGGTTGTCAAGGAACATTTTCCCCTGATTTTTCTTTAACATCTTTCTGTAATCATTATTGCAAATATTCTCATACCTAATTTTGTATTTGGTTTATTTCTTCAAATCTGCAGGCATTATTTTTATAAGTTAATTATAAAGACTTACAACTTCCTTTTTATTTTTTAAGGCTATCAAAAGGCATAATCTGACTAAAAGATGGCTTTTGAGAATCATTGATGAAAGAGTAAGTTGAAGTTACTTTTTTCTTTCTTCCTTTTTAGTCCTTAAGCTTGTTCTTTAGGGAGTAAACGTTTAATTGATTTAATTGCATTTTTCAGGGAGGAAACTTATAAGGACCATGCCATTTTGCTCACACTCCGTTCCTATATGCCACCCACTGTAGCTTCCGCCCCTTCATTCATATACCGTCAGGCAGAGATAGGCACCCCTGCAGAGTTGGCCATGTGCACGTGCACACTGTGTTCGTTGAAATGGGACATTGCAGACATATGCAAATGGAGTGAATACTCAACTTTCATGTGTCCGTTGCCCAGCTTTAATACTTAGTCAACACAGGTCTCCTCTCATCTGTGTTCATTTCCCTCTAATTGCCATTGGATTGTCCAAAGTAAATTTCAGACATGATCTGCAAATATATATATTTATGTCATAAGAAGCTTTAGAAAACAACCACAATATGATTATGACACTTCACTTACCTTTTTAAAAAAATTATTTATTTTTAATCATTAGGGGATCATACAACTCTTATTTCAATCCATATATACGTCAGTTGTGTAAAGCACACTTATACATTTGTTGCCCTCATCATTCTCAAAACATTTACTCCGCTTGGGCTCTTGGAATCAGCTCCTCAGTTTTTTCCCCCTCCCTCCCTACTCCTCCCTCCCTCATGAACCCTTGATAATTTATAAATTATTATTTTATCATAACTTGGAAAAGGAAGGTCTCCCTTCACCCACTTTTCTGTTGTCCATCCCCCAGGGAGGAAGTTATATGTAGATCCTTGTAATTGGTTCTCCCTTTCTACCCCGCCTTCCCTCCTTCCTCCCGGTATCACCACTGTGCATCCTCTGGTCTAACCAGGTTTTAAAGGTAGAATTGGGATCATGATAGGGGGGCGCGGGGTGGGGGTGGGGGTGGGCGGAGGGAGGAAGCATTTAAGAACTAGAGGAAAGTTGTGTGTTTCATCGATGCTACACTGCCCCCTGAGTGACTCATCTCCTTCCCATTACCCTTCTGCAAGGGATGTACAGTTGTCTACAGATGGGCATTGGGTCCCCATCCCACTTAGCTTTTTTTATTACAGTTTTATTGGCACTTCTTCCACATATCGTACAATTCAATAAACTATGGCAAAAATATGTACAACAAAAGAGTCTCCAATTCAACACCTTCTACATGTATATTTATGTGCCATTGATTATACTGTTGTGTACCTGTTATTGATATCCTTTTCCAAATTGTTCCAGCACCAATAATAGAAACTTGATGCCCCTAAGCATCAACTCTTCCTCCTTCACTCACGGTAGCCAGTAGTCAACTTTGGATTTTTTTTTCCCCAGTAGTTTTCTTGATATAAAAATACACTTCCATTGTTAAGTCTAAAAGTCATATATGCATGATCACAATCAGTTCTAGTGCTCCCTCCCCCTCATGCTTTCAATATTTGCTCCCCCATTCCCCTCACACACACACACACCCCATAAACCATTGCATTAGTTACTACCTCTATTCATCCATTCCTTCTGTGTTTCATAAAGTGGGAAACCTAACAGAAACAATAAAAAACAAAATGAAGAAAGTAGTAATAATTATTTTTATTTTTTTAAGCAAAAGGGAAGGAATTTATTGGAGCCTATATGGGAAACCCTAGAGGGCCCAGCATCCCTTACTGTGCAGGCATGCCCAGCAAAGGGTCACACCATTCACTGTACCCCATGTCCCAGAGGGACTCCCCTTGAGCTGAGCCCCAAAGCCCCAGAACTGGCTGGGGGTGGGGACATAATAATAATTATTATTAAAATAATTTTAAAAATAAAGTGTAAGAAAGAAAAGACTACAAACATTATTTGGAAATAGAAAAAAAAAAGACATTTCTGTCTTGGAACAAACGAGAAACATTTAAGCCTAAAGCAAAGTTAGGTTGGGTCAAGAGGGAGCTCGATTGGCCAAGTATCCTACCATAGTTTGATCCCCCTTAATCAAGTTTACAATAGTCTTTGTCTGTCGTAAAGCTGTTCGAGTGATTATGATACTTTAAAAATTAAATTATTTTAATATCTTCAGTTACCTGATATATGAAAGTTAATTGTGTTTCTATACACTTGCAATGTATAATTAGGAAATAATAAAGTAAACAATTCCATAGAAAATAACGTTAAAAACAATAAAATTTAGGAACAAATTCAGCCCCCCCCCCCCCCAAAAAAAGCATAAAACATATTTTCTAAAAAGTATATCATGGAAAGAAGTTAGAGAATATCTGAATTAAAAGACACCTCGTGTTCATATAGTAGAAGACAATATTGTTAAGTAGCAAGCAGTGAAACCCAAATTAATTGATAAATTCAGTGGATTTCCTCTCAGAATCCCAACTGGATTCTTAATAGAAATTGACAAAACTGGTCCTAAAATTCATACAGAAATTCAAGGAACTCAGAGTTGAATAACTCACACTTCCTTGTTTCAAAACTTAACTACAAAGCACAATAAGCCAGATGGTGTAAACATAGAGATATGTGGAATAGAATTGAAGAATCCAGAATAGACCAGTCAGTTAATTTTTTTACAACAGTACCAAAACAGTTCAATGGGTAAGGAATAGTCTTCTCAATAAATGGTGCTGGGACAGCTCCGTGTCAGCCACTTGCATAAGAATGATGTGTAAGAGTCGTATGAGCCCCTAATAAAACGATTAAAAAAAGATAACGGACCCGGGCTCAAGTAGAAAGCAAATGTTTTGAGAATGATGATAGCAACAAAGGTACAAATATGCTTGACACAATGGATGTATGTATGGATTGTGATAAGAATTGTACGAGCCCCCAATAAAATGATTTTTTTAAAAAAGAATGATGTTAATATATGTATAATGTTTTTTCAGTAGTCACAAAAGTTTACTTAGAGAGGATTAAAGACCTAATGTAAGAGCTTAAAATATAACACTCTTAGAAGAAAACATAGAATAAGTCTTCATTATCTTGGTTTGGCCATTTCCACAAATTAAAAAAAAAATTATGCTTCTAGGGGCATTACGAAGAAATTGCAAAGACAACCTATGGGATGGGAGAAAATATTTGCAAATCATATATACGATAAGGGATTTATATCTAGAATCTGTTTTTAAGAGCTTGCCTACCGCAATAGCTATGTGGTGTCATCTACAAATTAGAAATAGTATTCTTTCTCTTTTGGAGTTGTTGTTAAGGTTAAGAAGGTACTTTATAAAGTGCTTAAGTAAGAGCTCAATAAAGTCAGGGACTTTTGATAGATTTGACTTTAAAAGGAATTAAAAATTAAGCCAGCCCTATGTCTAGAGTGATTTGTGCATATAGATGGTGCCTAGAATATTATTTTGAAAGATAATTTCTAAGTAGTAAATGTACAGAACATTATTTTAACCTGTTTTATTATTTACTAGACTGTATATATTGAGTCATATTTTTATTCATCATTATTTAGTTCTTTATGGCCAAAAAAAATTTACAAGATATTGACAATTCAGGAGACTATTTGCATTTTTTGACTGTAGGAAAAAAATTTGGATGACAAAGTATATCGTAATATCCAGGAACTGGAAACTTATGCTGAGAACACACAGAGCTCTCTTCTTTATTTAACACTAGAAATATTGGGTAAGTTTTCTTCTTTTATACTTCTATTGCCTAAGAATGCACCTTTGAGATTTCACTTCTGATAATTTGATCATCTGACCAGTTCAGTACTAAAACTTTTCTCTGTACTATCTATGAAGAAACAGGTTTGCTTTGGTTGTTGTGCAATTGAGATGGCAGAGAGAGGAAATGTGTAGCTTTCTTTGGAGTAAAGACTAATCAGAATGCGCAGGCATTTATAAAAGTATGGTAATTAGCAATCTGATCATTGCAAGTGATCTTAATTTTCTTACTGTAGCATCTCTTAACATTTTGGAAGACCACTAACTTTGCTTCTCCTCCTCTGTCCACCAGTAATCTTCCCCATGTAAAGTGAAATGAAAGAACGAAGAAATAAAGTGGAATTTCCAAAGTGTTTTTGTAAGGTTGTTCCCCTTCTTCCCTTTCCTCGGTGACTTTGTTTTGAGTCAATTAAGTGTAATGAGGAACTTATTTGGTCCAAGGTCAGCACCTCCTCATTCTAAAGCCACATATCTTCATGACACCCCAGAAGAATGGTACATGTCCCTGCTGAGTTTCCAGGGCTGCTTTGCCCGCACACTCGGTGACATGTGTGCCTCACAATGAAAGGAGCGGAATGTAATGAGGTCAGGTGGAAATTGTACTGAGGAGAAGAAATGCAAGACTTAGAATGTTTTTCCATGATACTTGATTAAAGTTCCAGATGTGTTTTTGGTGCTGTAGTCTGAGAAAAACTCTTACTTCACCTGTGAGGCAAATGGTCAGCTTGTCCTTGTGCCTAACTTTTCTCTTATAAATCCTTGTTTCTAAGAAATAAAGCCTAGAAGAAGCACATCCTGCTTGTACATGTGAGGTGATTTCTCAGTGCTGTTTCTGTTGACTTGTGAGGCACTTACAAAGAGTTGACCAATCCTGTTACTTATTTAACCTCCAAAATCCTAGGCATAAAAGATCTTCATGCAGATCACGCCGCAAGTCACATTGGAAAAGCACAAGGCATTGTCACTTGCTTAAGAGCAACTCCCTATCATGGTAGCAGAAGAAAGGTCTTCCTTCCCATGGACATTTGTATGCTGGTAAGGCTATGATTTGGACATTTTAATAATGCTTACCTCGGGAATATAGTGAGGGAAATGATATCTTGGTTCTTTATTAAGTTTGTTCAAGTAACTCCTTCAGAACTAATGCTAGCTAATTGCTTATAGCAAATGAGTTATCAAGTCAGATTATTATCTAGCAGTCCATTAGGTTGGGGGTGGAGTTATGAGAAAGAAAATTCAAAACCACGCTCATTGAATGAATGCTGACTCATCACGAACCTATAGGGCAGGGTCGAACTGCCCCTGTGAGTTCCTGAGACTGTCACTCTGAGATTCTCCTGAGGCATGGTTGGTGTCATACGGCTGACCTTTCAGATTGTGGCCCAACTCGGAACCACTACACCACCAGGCTCCATCTGAGAAGAAGTTACATCCTATTTGATGTTAGCGCCATGCGCCTTACTCCTTCCTGCGCAGTTGCAGAAATTCTTGCTAGTAGTCACTTTAGCTGTTCTTTATTTTATGTTTTTGTCTTAAGAAGGAAGTAATCCATTATAAAGAGTTACTTTGTTTATAAGAAAACACTTTTTTTCCTCTGTGTACTTTGGATGAAATTCATTATTGTCTGTTTTTTTAAACTTCCTGTATGTTTGTTTCCTTGTTATTTTTGTACCATCTACAACCATTGCTAATGTTTTATTGCATATTATTCCAAATCTATCAGTCTCTCCATTAGTGTTGGATTACCCAATTGGCAAAGTAATTAAGCAAGCACAGGTAAGCCCATGCATACCTTAGGTAATCTGCTCCTGCTTTCCATACACACACATATTTGCACATTTATTTTGTAAAGTATGAAATTAATCTTAGATTGTATATACTGTACTATCATCTTTTTTGGAGCCAAGTTACTTATAAGTGTACTTTTAGAGTCCTGACATGATGTACATTTTCCTACGTAGCATGGTGTTTCACAGGAGGATTTTCTACGGAAGAACCAAGGTAAAAATGTGAGAGATGTCGTATATGACATTGCCAGCCAGGCACACTTGCATCTAAAGCACGTAAGTACCCTCTTCCCTCCAACTCCTTTAGGAAATGAGCATTTCTAGAGCTTGCTTGTCAGCCTTCATTCATCTCTCATTGAATTCTCTTAGGGACTATTAGAATTTTCACTTCACTAGGTTCTCTGCTATAGTCCTCAGCATCTAGTGTCTGATACAGTATTAGAATTTAATGATTATTTGTAGGGTATAAACAAATAATCAGACTATAAATTCCTTGAAGACAAAGGCTCCATACTAATCTTCTTTTGAATGCCTAGGATAAATGAGTATAGTTCAGTTCAACAGCAGAGTTATAGATACTGCACGTGGAAATTCAGATGGGAAGTTAGTAAACATCAGGAGGGGTTTGGGTGAGATCTGAGAATATTACACAAGTATAGAGGGACATTTGTGGGAACTTGAGTTGTCCCAGTTCATGGACATGTAATTGCCTGAGTAATATTCATTCCCGGGCCTTCCTCCCTGAAGATTGAGTCAGTAACTTGGGAAGGGACTAGGAATCTGTATTTATAAAAAGCTTGATTTTTTTTTTTTTATCAACAGCTATGTTTGATAGACTACTCATTTATAGGGTATATGAAATATGGCCTTGAAAAGTGGGTTTAGGAGGGTGGGTTGAAGATACTGGAGCTTTGGAAACTTTGTGACGCTGTAGAGCATAGTGGAGCCCTGTTGATGTAGTTATTAAGTGTTGGGGTGCTAACTGCAAGGTCAGCAGTTCGGAACCACTAGCTGCTCCATAGAAAAAGACAAGTCTTTCTACTATAAGAGTTCCAGTCTTGGAAACCCACAGGAGCAGTTCTACCCTATCCTGTACTGTTACTGAGTTGGAATCGACTCTACGTGGTTGGTTTTGACTAGTGTGGTGGGTGAGAGTGCAAGCCCTGGAACCAGATGTTTGAGGGTAGCCTAGCCCTGCCATTTACTCACCATGCACTCTTCACCCTCTGTGCCTCAGTCTCTCATTTGTAAAAAGATCATACGAATACCTAACTCAAATTCTGGTTATGTAAATCAATGAGTTATGATACATAATGAGTCCTATAGCACTGCCTGACATTTAGTATGTGCTAATTAACCTTCACCATACTTGATAAAGCAGTAGCCTTAATGTTGCACTCTACAACATTAGTGGCATTGGTGTTTAAACTCTGCCTGCAGTGTTTGAAAGAGGTGAAGGTTAGGAGCTAGGTTAGGAGAGAGGAGGAAAAAAGGTATCTGATGTAGAGTGAGTGGCTTAGCCACACACACATGCACACACAAATGCATTTAATATAACCACTAGACTTGGCAACTGATTGAATTTGTCAGGATCGGGGAAAGGGAAGGATGAAGGCTGTGTAAACAGGTCAAGTATAAATGATAATGGTGCCAGTATGCTGGGCACTCAGGAGACTGTATACTCCCTGCAGACATAACTGAATTTGAGGTGATTAGAGAACATTTAGAAAGATAGACTATTGAAGAATGTAGATTTGTGATTTTGAAAGTAGATCTGATAGATTTGAGTTATTCACAGAAAGACTTATGGTTAAAGCTTTCAGTTTAGGTGAGAATGTACATCTAAAGAAGAGAGTCAGGTACAGAACCTTGAGACCCACTTGTTTATTTCTCAGCTAGCAGGAGAACAAGCCATTTTTAGCAAGAAGGAAAAGGAAAGAAAAACTGAGAACCGGTGTCATGAAAAGCAAATAATAGCAACAACGAAACCTGCTTCCCTTGAGTTGGTCCTAACTCGGTGAATCTACAGGACAGAGTAGAGCTGCTCCGTCGGTTTCTGAGGCTGTTTCATCTTGACGGAAGCAGACTCCTTAACTTTCTCCTGCAGAGTGGCTGATGGCTTGGAACCACCAACCTTTTTCATAGGTTCCCAAAGTTATTTGGCCTCCTGCCCCCTTTGTAGAAAAAAAATTAGTTAGTGCTCCCTGGCAATGGAAAACTTGTACTACCGCCTGTAATTCAAGGTAAAAGGTAGGCATCTGTTATTGCAGCCCCCTTGGATGGTTCTGTCATTCCACCTCCAGGGGATGGTGTCACCAACTCTGGAAACATTGACTTAACCATTGTGCCACCAAGACTTTCTTGAAAACTAAGAATAAAATTCCAAGAAAGGGATAGCCAAGTATTGCATGCAATGGAGAGATTAAAGAGAAAAGTTGCCGTGGTGATTAGTGTATCATGGATGATCATAAAGGAGCACTTGAAGAGGAGACCAGTAATGGGGGTGGGTGGAGGGGTAGTGTAAAACCAGACTGCAATGGGTTAAATGAGCCCAGAAGTAGAGGCAGTAAGTAGCTTCTGTGCTGGGCATAAAGGATGCCATAAGCAAAGGCTTCCATCTGAGCGGGGTCTGATGAGTGCAGGATGGTTATCCTCAGCCACAGGGGGCCAGGAAGTCAAGCCCCAGAGCAGTGGGAGCTGGCTTGAATGGATGAGGTTAGAATTCTAGGATGAATCGTTGTGACTTGATCCATCAGGAAGTTTAGTTAAAAAATAAAACAGTGACTTAAATATGTGAATTTGATTGGCTATAGAGAATACATGGGAAGGTTTGGGAGCACAAAGACAGGGTAGCCAGTTAAACCAAAACTCAAACCAAATTTAGTCATTGAGTCAATCCTGACTATAGGTCAGGGTAGAATTGCCCTTGTGGGTTTCTAAGACTATAATTCTTTATGGAGTAGAAAGCCTTGTCTTTCTCCCAAAGAGCAACTGGTTATTTCGAACCACTGACCTTGCAGTTAGCAGCCCAACAGGTAACCACTATACCACCAGGGCTCCAGTGATATTCACTGCAGAGGAGAGAATGGGAATCCAGGTTGGGAAGAGGGAGCCCTAGTTAGGCACTTGACTGCTAACCAAAATGTCAGCATTTCAAGCCCATCAGCCCCTCTGGATAGAAAAGCCCTGGAGATCTGCCCGGAAGGATTACAGCAAACCGGGACTCTTGAGTCCGAGGCCATTTGGATATGTATAACATCATCTGAGGGCCATACTGGTCAGGCATTTAGTTAACTCATCCTTAATGTGATGGCTGTGGGAGTAAGAGGAGGCTTTTAAAGAGTTACAGCCTTGGAAACCCACAGGGCAGTCCTACCCTTCCCTATAGGGTCACCGTGAGTCGAAACAACTTGATGGCGGAGTTGAAATCATCAGTAGCAGTTAACGTCACACACCTGACAAAAAGAAGCAGTTCAAGGCATCACTTTCCCCCCAAAACAAACTCCCTGCATCACAGCCTAGGAAGCCCAGTGGGTAGTTTTGCTCTATCATGTAAGGTTGTGGTGATTAAGAATTGACTAACTAGCCATGGTTTGGTTTGATTTTGGTTTCTTTACTACCGTGCCCCGTAGAGTTAAAGGGTCAAGGCAATTGGAAAGTGCCTAGAGCCAATCTGTGAGAACGAATGTAATTACTGAAATAGGAGCGATGTTACCATGCATCCGTTCGTGTAGGAAATTAATCTTAGTCAGCAGGAGATGAGACATCCTATCCGCCTTTTGAGAAGGGCCCTAACGGGCTTGTCAAATTGTGGGTGTTCTAGTGTTCACTTTTAGAAGGGGAGTGTTTATTTCCAGAAGTATTTTTGTATCTGACCAGTTTCCTTTTCTCTTCTTTTTCAGGCTAGGTCCTTCCACAAAAATGTTCCTCTGAAAGCATTTCCTGCGTTTCTTCAGACGGTAAGGAGATTAACAAACAAGGCTCTAGAATTAGTGAGACAGATGTATGTGGCCTCTTTTTATGTTTTAGACAGGAGCCAGTGCAGTTCTTTTGTTTGCAGCCTTGGTTCTGTTTCCCCATTTGTAGTGGGTTTTCCCAAGTACCTTCTGGGATGGCTGGTCCCTGGACAGAGCTCTTGGCACCAGTGACTCATAGTCCATCAGACTCAAAGCATCTTTAGAGGGCAAAATAGAACTGCCCCTTAGAACTGTAATCTTTATGGAAGCAGACTGCCACAGCTCTTTCCTATAGAGCAGCTGGTGGGTTAGGTACTGTTGGTTATACTGAGTATCCTATTAGCTTTTTCTCCATAGGAACCATATTATAACAATAGACCTGAACAGTGGTCCACAGACCAGTGCTGAGCTGGCTGCATCACAATGATGCAGAAAACGTTTTAAAATGCAGATTGCTGGCGGGGAGGTGGTCCCTAGGGGAATTTGCTGTTTTAAAGTTTCTCATGTGATCCTTGCTGAGAATTTGCCTTTCCACCCCTGACACTGAATCTGACTCTACAAGATGCATCAGACACACCTGGTAATATGTGTCAGTTATATAAAATTACTCAGTTTTCCTGAATTGTCTAATTACTTCCCAGACAGAGTTCATGAAATTACATTCTTGCTGGCTATCCTGGTAGGATATTTAATATTAATTTTCAGCTCTAGAGTGTATAATTATGCAATTTGAAGCTACCCTTTGGTGCCTTCTGATTCTGTGACCGTAGGTGGGCCTCTTATTTAACTGCTCCAGGTCTCAGCTCCCCTTCTGTAATAAAACATTTCTCCCAGGATGTCCTAAGAATTAAGTGACAGATGTGTTGCAAGGATTAAGTGACATGTGATATGCAAGCACCTGGCACATCAGATTTGTTTAAATGCCCTGTATCAGTAAGAGTGCCAGGAAACGGATGGTTTTACTGGTGGGAGGACATGCACATTTCTTAAAGAGTAGATTTTTTTTTCAAAGCTTTTAAAAAGGTAGTGATTTTTTATCCAGCCAGTCTAATTCTAAAAATCTAGCATAAGGAGCTAAATAAATCTGGATTTGTGTTTTTAAAATGATAAGATTGTCACTTATATATAGGAAAATAAATTGGAAGTAACTTACAAAGATTGATGAACTTACAAACTGTTAAAAAGAATACAGTGGGAAGTCTTAGAGATGCACACAGTATATTAAGTGGGGAAAAGGTTACACGACATTATGATTATATGATTGCATTTTTAATAAGAAGAAAAGGTTTTCTGTATATATACTCCCATATATACAAACCAAACCCCCAACGCCCCACAAACTAGTTGGATGTGACCCCGTAGGGCAGAGCAGGGTGGGCAAGAGAGCCATTTGTGGCTCTTTTGGTACATACATGTGGCTCTGAAGAGTAAAAGTGAAAATGAAAATAAAACTATTGTGGTTTTGTTATAAAATTTAAAGGATATCATTCAGATAATAGTGATATCTGTTTGTAAAAATATATTTATGACTCTCGAATAATTTTTAAACTGTTCTCAGGGACAGGATTCGCTTTTCCATCTCAGAAGTTTGCTGAGCACTGGGACAGAGTAGAACTGCCCCTGGAGGTTTCTGAGACTCTTGGAAATCTTCATGGGAGTAGAAAGCCTCATCTTTCTCGCACACATCAGCTGATAGTTTCCAACTGCTGACCTTGTGGTTAGCATGCCAACACATATGCCCATCAGGTCTCCTCATATATTGCCATCATCATTCTTAAAACATTTGCTTTTTACTTGAGCCCTTGGTATCAGCTCCTCAGTTTTTCCCCCTCCCCACTGCCCCATTTCTCATGAACTCTTGATAATTTATAAATTATTATTTTGTCATGTCTTACACTGTCTGACGTCTCCCTTCACCCGCTTCTCTGCTATCCATCTCCCAGGGAGGAGGTTATATGTAGATCCTTGTAATCGGTTCACCCTTCTACCCCACCTCCCCTCCACCCTCCCGGTATCACTACTTTCACCACCTGTCCTGAAGGGTTCATCTGTCCTGGATTCCCTGTGTTTTCAATTCCTATCTGTACCAGTGTACATCCTCTGGTCTAGCCAGATTTGTAAGGTAGACGGGATCGTGACAGTGGGGTGGGGGGAGGAAGCATTTAGGAACTAGAGGAAAGTTGTCTGTTTCATCGTTGCTACACTGCACCCTGACTGGCTCCAGACTGTACTTTTTATGGGAGTAGATTTCCATGTCTTTCTCTTATAGAACTGCTGGATAGGTTGCTTATCCATTGTGCCACCAAAGCTCCGTTAGTTTTCAGCTCTCATTTCCCCAACAATCTTTTTGAACTCATATGTGCATATATTATAAATCATGCCACAGTGGACACCTACAAACTCTTCCATTTAACCGAAGAAATTGAGTGTTGTTGTTACATGGCATCCACTTCGGTGTTTTCTCATCCCAGCCTCCAGCCCACCTTCCTGTATCAGACAACCCAAACGGAACCAAGCCTCTTGCCATTGAGTTGCTTTCTAAGGACATGTCTAGTGCTTGTGTTCTGCCTCCTGCTTGGTTGCATAGTGAGTGCATAGGCTCTGAAAGGCTTGCCAGTGGCCCCCTAGGCACAACAGTTGGTTGGTCTCTAATCACCTGAAGTGAGTGATAGGAAAGAAAATCAGGAGCAGGAGGATGTGGACCGTGTGGTTAATTGCCTCCTTTGCCATGAGACTAGAGGAACTGTATAATGCCCAGCTACCATTAACGAACATTTTGATCAAAGATTCCATAGAAAAATCTTGATCAAAAGAGGCAAATGCAGAACAGAATTTCAAATGCTTGTGATCTCCAAATTTTCTGCAGCCAGGGAATGGCTGAACTTCTGAAACTCCTGTCCTCTCTGAGAGAAGCTTAAAACCCTAAACCAAAAGTATCACAATCCTCTAAAAACTGAAAAATAGTGTAGCTTCACTACTAAAAAAAGTCTACTTTGAGCATTTTGCTCGCAGATGATGCATATGAGATCAAATTGGCACAGCACCTAACAAGACTAGGGGAAGCGAATTTATGTTAACGAGAGGAATAATGAAGAGAGGTGCAGACCGTAAAGACGAGGTGGATGTCATCGAATGGTACGTGTCGAAATGGCTGATGGGTTTCTTTTTGTTTTGTTTTGTTTTGTTTGCTGTGCGTTCCCAGCAACAACAAAGTTAATAAAGTTTAGCAGGATTAAAAGTAGATAATGAATTTGCTTATTTGTACGCTCGTAAAGGGCCGTGATGTCAGGTAGGTGTTGAGCTGCTAACCACATGGACGGTGGTTCCCACCCACCTCTCACTACGTGGGAGGAAGTTAAGTCTGCTGCTCCTGGAAAAACTTACAGTCTCTGTACTATGTGGGGTGTGTGTGTATACTGTATATGTGTACCACCCATATATAGGGTCGATATGAGTCAAAATTGACTTGATGGCCATGGGGTTTTTGGTGGGTGGAAAGGAAGTCTATAAGAAAATATAATTTTTATTTCCTTTTTGCTCATCTGGATATTCTGATGATTCTGTAAGCATAACCCATGGGGGTCGCACAGGCTATGCACTGCAAAACTTTAAGGGGGCACTGTCCATGCGGACTAGCGTGGGAGTGATGCCACTTTCAATTGTGGAGTGCAAAACTACGTGGCTTTCCGTTTATTAGAAAAGTCATTCAAACAAATAAGAGTACAGAGCACTGTCCATTGTTAGGGTTTTCCTTCCTGGCCCTATCCTGACAAAACTTTGTGGTGCTTTGTGAGATGGAGAGGGGAAAGGGTCCTCCCTGGTTGGAAATAGTGTTTTCTAGCAAGAACACGCCGATGCAGCCAAGTAGAGCCAGCGTGGCGAGCTCACGTGTGGCAGGGCGGAGCTGTCACGAGCAGGACCTTTGGGAAGTAGGTCACCAGGCTTTGTTGTGGAGAACTCTGGTGGGTCGGAACCGCCACCTCTTCAGCTAGCAATCAAGTGCTTAATCAGCGGTGTCACCCTTTGCATCGCGTCCCTTCTGGGGGGTCGAATGACCTTTCACAGGGGTTGCCCAAATCATAACAGTAGCAAACTGACAGTTATAAAGTAGCAGGAACGGTATTAAAGGGTTCTGGCACGAGGAAGGTTGAGAACCACTGTGTTTAATGGTGTGTGCCACCCAGAGACCTTTCTAAGAACCTGGACTTTCCAAACGTCTTCATAAGACACTCATTTAAACAGTTTGAAATCCCTTTCATGGCACAATGCATTTTTGGAGTTAAACTTTCTTTTCTTTTTCTTTTTTTCTGTTTGAAACATTCTTTTGTGTTCCTCAGAACCTAATAAGACTTTTAATCTTCTCTAATTAAGAGACTTGATATTTCTCATACTCAGCCTATGGTATTCTTTTACTGGCCCATTAGAAATTTCCATAGATGTATTTATTCTTTTTCTCCCTTTTAAACTTTATAACACATACCAGGTCATCCCAGGGAAACAGGAATATCCCTAACATTTGTCATCTTTCTGTGGTTTCTTTTAAAGACTTGATCATTTGGTGATCTCGCAATCACTTTTTTTTTTTTTCAGGTTGCTCTAGAGGACTATTTAAAGAAAATTCAACGAGTGGATTTTAATATATTCCACCCAACTTTACAGCAGAAGAATACATTACTTCCATTATCTTTGTATATTCAGTCATGGAGAAAAAGATATTAAAATAGTTTTATGGCATTGATCCTCATTTATCATGTTTACAAATATAATGTTAGAGTTCTTGTCTACCTACAAGAGGAGTGGATGCTATAATTACAGAGAAAATTAATGTATTGGGTGGACATCGGGAGACTCAGAATGAACGAGAAGTTGCTGAAGACCTAGGGTGCCAAGATTCTGCCACAGGCACTACTGCTGGCACCGCCAGCCCTGACACTCCACTGCACTGTTATTGTGAAGTCAGCACCAGCAGGGGGCGTCATTTCAGCTTGCCACTCTCCCAGCGGCCAGAGGACCTGAAGAGGAATGCCTCCTTGCATTACTCTGGGTAGGAATCCGAGCGCGCTCAAATAGCATCGGAGTATGTACACTGAGCAGCCAGACCTCAGCTGTCCAGTGCTGCTGGAACTAGTGTTTTTTGTTAGGGGCTTTGCAGAGTGGGGTTAACATTGGGGGAGTGTCTGCCATTGTGTAGAGGGCTTTATGTATCCTTAACATTCTCCTCCCCTTTGAACAAGGAGACCTACTGGCATGGTGGCGCAAGGTTGTCAGTTCAAGATGAAGCTCTCAGTTCCTATAAAGAGTCACAGTCCTGGAAGCCCTCTGGGGCAGTTCTGCCCTGTCTTGTACATGAGAATCGTCTTCATGGCATTGGGTTTGATTTTGGTTTTAACATCCCTTTAAACAACTTGTTTAAGGTAACCCAGATGGTTATTAAGAGCTGGAGCCTTAATTTGACTTTAGGCCTAGCTGGTTTTTAAGCATTTGCTCTTTGTTAAACCCAGTTTCACTCCTGCCATTCAACATGAATATGATCATGGAGCAAATAGAAAAGAAGTCAGAATGGTATTCAGCATTTATTTAGGGAGTTCTACATTTTTTTAAACTAGTTTACATTGAGCTCAATGATAAGCATTGGGGCATGTGCTTTTAAAGGGGTTCTTGTTTGATCTTACAAACCCTAGGAAATGAACTTTTTAGGGTGGTGAAAATTTTTATTCTAAAATATATACTCATAAAAACAAATTATATATGCTCATTGCAAAAAACAAAACTGTCAATATTGTGGGTAATTGGATCTGAATGAATGTCTTGATTCCCAAGCATTCTGACAGTTTCCTTTACCTTGCTTCTCAGGCTTGTCCCGCCCCCCACGCATATCCCTTCGGTGTTCTGGTGTGCTTGTTCTGCATCAATATTTATCTCTAGGTCTGTGGTCTCAGACCGGGCTCCCTTGTCTTTGTGCCTACTGAAAAAAATGTGGGTTGATGATGGATTACAATATTGTATCTTTGTAATAAAATTCCAACTGAGAACTGCTTGCGGGCAAGAATATACTGTGTGACTTCCTGCTTAGAGCAAGTAGACTAATAAATGTACAAATGACAGAATTTGCAATGAAGTTGTATATGTATATTCTGTTAGTTGATACTGTTAGTTGATACTGATACTGAAAGAATATCTTCTTGTTTAATTCTGAGACTTTAGAGATCCATTTAGCTTATCTTGAATTGCTAGTACAAGGAAATAGGACGCATTTCCTCTTGGGATTCTGAACAATCCAGGGTTGGGGAGTTCACTGAAGAGAGAGTTGCCAGTACACATTGGCCGCAAGTCTTCTAGGTTACATTTGCCTGCATTGAGTGCCTAAGCATCTTGGTTCACGTGTAAGAGTCTTGAAAAGAATGCTTTAAATACGGAGCAGGATTACTGAATACTGGCTCCAAAGCTAACTTTCCGTTAAGTAAACAATTTCTAAATATTTTGCAGGCCATTTAAAATTGTATATTAGAGAGATTTGGATGAATTAAAGCTACCAGCCTCCTTGCAATTAAGATGAGGGTCTTCTCAGAGCCATTTACGTCAGAATTTTCCTGGCTTAAAATACAACCACCACCCCCCCAAAAAAAAAAAAAAGATAACTCCTCTAGAAGGTGCCAACATTCTTTTTCCATTTCTAAATCTCCCTTTTATTAGTATTTTTAAGGAGTCACAAATTTAAGATGTATTTTTATACTGAATTAGTATGAGCAATGGATAGCATATATAAATTACAGATTCATCTTAAGTAAAGTTACCTACAAGAGGGCTTCACATTTTTTATGAGAAAATTCTACCTTTTAATTCCATTTTTCCACAATATGTATATGTGATATATACAAATATCAATAGAAAATAAGTTTGAAGTAGTTCCCAATCAGTTCACAGTATTCTTTCCTTCTGGTATCTAATAAAATTATTCCCGAGAATGAAAATGATTAATATTTATTGAGCACTAATTTGAGGGTGCTGGACTCTGCACTTTGGTACATTTGTCTTCACAGTGAACTAGACTTTAGTCTTCAGCTGAAAAATTTGCTTCAGACACTGCAATTAGTACCAGAGCTTGATGTTAAACCCACATCCGTCCAATGCCAAAACCCATGTTTTAACTATTCTTGAAACTAAAATATTTAAACTGCCAGATTTAAAAGCTCAAGGGCACAACCGTTTAAAGGAAAAAGTCTTAACCGCAAATTTTAGCTACAAATTAGGTTAAAAGAAAAAAAGTCCTTACCAAGCATATTCCAGCTTCAAATTAGGTGAGAAAGAGAAGTGCTGGTCAGTGGGTTTATAGGAGGGACACTCGAGCTGTGGTGGTGAAAGGATCTTTCCCCGAGGAGGTGGCATGTGAGCCGTGTCAGGAAGGCTGGGCAGGAGCCAGGACGCAGCATAGGCACTGACTTTGGGAAGAGGTCCTGGCTGACCGCATTCTGTACAAAGTCTGGGGGGCAGAATGGTTGGCACATGTCAAGGCTCTTTAGTTTTGGGCTTTAATTTACTCAAGTGAAAAGAACAGAATGTAATATCCAGAGTTCTTAGGACGTGTGTGAATAAAAAGTGGCCACATCCTTGACCTTGTGAGATGTTATGAATTAAGATCAAAGACTTGGGAGGTTATTTTTGATCCACTTCAACAAATCCTCAGGTGACCTTGGGTTTGCATGAGCTCAGAAATAGGACAGGGAAGACATTGTCCTAGTTGCCCTACCCAGAATGATCCACCAAGTTGTAAATATTTTGGAGACGGCTATGAAAACAAAGCAGTATTCCTGCTGTTCTTACAAATAAGGAACATGGAGCAATGACACTCAGAACTGGAAAGGGTGTGGGGAAGGATTTGGAGCAATGACTGAGGAATGGTTGGAAGGAGGGGGAAAGAGTTGGAGGGAGTAACAGAATACATAAAAATAATTTGGACAGCATATTTTTCTCTAAAACGAGTATTTCTTTCTTGGGTAATTGTTACACTATTAGAGATTAGTACCCTTCTAGAGAGAAAGCTCATGGTAGATGGGGAATATGGGTAAATTTATCAAACAATGAAAAACGTGAATAAACATGAACTTTCTCGTCTTAGCTTCTGTTGCTGTAACACATACCATATATACTTGAGTATAAGCCAACCTGAATATCAGTCAAGGCACCTGATTTTACTACAAAAGCTGCATTCAAAATGTGCTAAAAAAAAACAGCTTATACATGAGGATATATATATTATTCTCTCACAGTTGAGGCTACAAGTTCAAATTCAAACAAGAAATTCCAGAACCCTTTCTTTCTAATTTGGAGGAAAGTCTGTCTCCTTTCAGCTTCTGTGGCCCTGGCATTCGTTGAAGATCTCCATGTGTCATGGCATCGATCTTCCAGGTTTAGGAGGTTCTAAGCTCAGACACCCTCATAAGAAAGGTTGCATTACTCTTTCTTGGTCCCTATGGTGCTGACTTCTCTCCTTTTATCTCCTGTAAGATAAAAGGTGTGACTTACCCGTCGGGGAGCATGAGTTGCAGTGGTAAGGTTGTGACTCAAGACCCACCCTATACTAATAACCCTATTAACATAACGAGGCTAGGATTTAAAACATCCCAAATTGGAGGTTAATTACATCAGATTACAAAACAGGCCAAGTGGATATATTTTAGAGGATATTTCAGTTTATGGCAATGTTTTCATAGCTTCACTTTTATTAATAAAAGATTGAGAAGTGGGTAGTTCTAATTTTTTATAAATTATTGCTTTTTTTTCTTAATTGCTGTGTTTGCCTGAAATGAAGTATTTTAGAGCATCATTCAAATTTTAGTCCTTTCACCTTTTTCTCTCACTGTCTTTCACTAGAACAAGAAAAAAATGGCATTTATGGCATTTCTTTTCATTCTTAATATTTTTGCCCCTTCTCAAATGGTAAAAAGCCAAAGAAAGAGGACACGTATCACTCATTGCTGTTCGGTTCTGTCAAACTACTTGTTGGGCGTCGTCTAGTCCACTCTGACGCACAGTGGTCCTCTGTACAGCAGAGTGAAATAGCGCACCTTCACAATGGTTCCTGTTTGGGCCCGTTGTACTCACTGTAATAATCCATCTTGTTGGGGGCCATTCTCTTTGTCCCCTACTCCACCAAGTCTGATGTTCTCTTAGGACTGACCACTGTTGATGACATACCCACAGGAGCCTCCTAAGGAGCAGTCTTGACTACTAAGACTTGGGTGTCCTTTTGGCAGTCTATGGTAATTTAACTATTCTTCACCAAGCCCTTCATTCAAATGCACCAGTTCTCTGGTTTTATGAACTGTCCATGTTTGCCGTACATCTCAGGCAGTTGGAAGTACCATGGCTGGGCCAAGTGCACTTTAGTCCTCAGGGACGTCATCGCACAAACGACAGGGCTTTTGCAGCAGATTTGCCCAATGCAATGTGTCACTTGATTTCCTGCCTGCTGTTTCCATGGACATTGTGGATCCAAATAGAATGACATCCTTGACCATGTCAATCTTCACTTATCATGATGCTGTCTAGTGGGTCGGTTAAAAGCTTTTTTCTGTATATTGAATATCCATATTGAAGGTTGTATTTTTTGATCTTCATCAGCAAGTGCTTCAAGTCTCTTTTAGCAACCAAACTGCAACACCTGCATACCACAGCTTCTTAGTGAGCCTCCAATCCTTATTTGTCATTCTTCATAAAGACCAGACAGCTCATCTGGTTTGTGGTCATTAGTGTCCAATGCATCAAATCTATTGAGATGGTCTCTAATTTCAGATGAGGTATATTCAAGGTCATATTTTGGCTCTGGTAGACTTGTTTTCATTTTCTTCAGCTTCAACCTGAACTTACATATGAGCAATTGATGATCTGTTCCACAGTCAGCCTGGGGTCTCGTGTTGGCTCGTGATAATGAACTTCTCCATTGCCTCTTCTCACAGATAGAGTCTACTTGATTTCATCTGGTGAGGTATACTTAAGTTGTTGAAAAAAGAAATTTGCAGTGAGCAAAATGTTGATATTGGAGAATTCTATTCTGCAATTTATAGCATTTCTATCACCAAGGGCCTATTTTCCAATTATTGATCCTTCCTCTCTGTTTACAACTTTCACATTCCAATCTCCAATAATTATTAATGTTTCTTGATGGCATATTTGACCAATTTCAAAAGGAAGAAACTGGTAGGTTTCTTCAACTTCTTCATCATTGGCTTTAATGGGTGGTGTATGAATTTGAGTGCTGATTGGTTATCCTTGTAGGTGTGTATTAGTCTGGGTAGACTAGAGAAACAAATTAATAAACATATGTATTAGAGGTTTATAAACAAGAGCAATTGGATATTGAGAAAACAGCCCAGCCAGGTCCAGATCAAGTCCATAAGTCCGATATTAGTCCATATGCCTGCTACCAATCTATAAAGCCCTCTTCAGACTCATGAAACACATGCAATGAGGCCGAATGCAGGAAGATCACAGGCCAGTGTATGGGAAGTCTTGTGGATCCAGTGACATTGTAAGCATCTCAGCGCTGACAGAGGTCTCCATGTGACCTCCAGCTCCCAGCACTGCATCAGGCCTGCTTCATGCCTCAGGGATGTCTCTCGGAGTGAGGAAAGAGAGACTCACACCTCCAAGGAGGAATACAGGAATTCCCAAAATCCCTAGGAGAAAGCCATGCCCACACAGGCCTCATTGGCTAGCACCTGATTGACTGGCTGGACTCCACCCCTTTACCCTTAATCCTGTCATATTGACAGACAATTACATAACACCACAAGGTGTAGCGTTCTTATCCTAGCAGAGATAGCATTATACTTTTAGATAGATCTTGAAATATCTTTTTGACAATAAATGTGATGTCATTCCAGGCATGATAAACATGATTGTCCAATTCAAAATGCCCAGTGCCAGTCCATTTCAGCTCACTAATGCTTAGGATATCAGCTTGCATTCATGGTAGTTTTGATGTCTTAGTTTCCCTAGATTCATATTTCTTATATTCTACATTCGGATCACTAATGGATGCTTGCAGCTATTCTGAGTTTGACTGGTGCCACATCAGTAAATGAAAACCCCTAACCCTTTGCTTTGATCTACAT